CTCCAACAAGTAAACAAGCATGCCCCCCCTCTCACCACCATGCCTTCCCCTCTTGTTCTCACCAGTATACCAGCATGGCTCCCCTCTCACCACCATGCCTTCCACTCTTGTTCTCACCAGTATACCAGCATGGCTCCCCTCTCACCACCATGCCTTCCCTGCTTGTTCTCACCAGTATACCACCATGGTTCCCCTTGTCGCCACCATGACTTCTCCCCTTGGACTCACCAGTATGCCACCATGGCTCTCCTTCACATCACCATGCCTTCCCTGCTTGTTCTCACCAGTATACCAGCATGGCTCCCCTTCTCACCACCATGCATTCTCTGCTTGTTCTCACCAGTATGCCAGCATGGCTCCCCTTCTCACCACCATGTCTTCCCTGCTTGTTCTCACCAGTATACCAGCATGGCTCCCCTTCTCACCACCATGCATTCTCTGCTTGTTCTCACCAGTATACCAGCATGGCTCCCCTTCTCACCACCATGCCTGCATGACCCCTACTCACATCTGCAGGTCTCCCCTCTTAGCACCAAATCTGCACCCACAATTACCCTTAATATTAGCACCTGACCCTATACAACACCTATCTGGGTCTATCCACAAAGCCTGGTGGATGCTAAGGAAGATATGTCTGCCCGGGGGGGGGATTTGTACTAGAAAGGGGGGAGATTTGTACTGACGGGGGTAGTGCTTCAGAGGAGGGAGATTTCCCCTGGAGGGGTGGTATTTAAACTAGAAATGGGGGAGATTTGTGCTGAAGGAGATTTCTTGCTAGTACGGAAGGGAAATTTGTACTTGGAAAAGTTGCTAAGGTGGAGGGAGATATGTGCTGAGGGAATTTTTGCTAGGCTGGGGGGAGATTTGTCCTAAGTGGGGGTGTTGCTCTGACGGGCTCATGCGATGCGGGTTTGTGTATTAGTTACTAAGGGAACCTGACACGAGTGAGTCCTGGTCGTGGCATTCATTGGCCAGCACTGTGACATGGGTATGAGCTGCTTGGACAACCTGAGCGGCCACCCACATTAGTACACATATGCAGGTCTTGAAAAGCGCTTTCCTAACTAAATTGGAGGCGCTCCATGATTGGTCACAGCCACACGTAGGGTAGAGATATAAGCAGCAATGAGTGGAGGTCAGGTAAGTTCTAATAAAAGGGCCCCAGAACCACGTCAACCATTTCCAGCATTAGCTGTTGGTGGCCACTTGATGGATAGTGGTGGTGGTGGTGGTTGGATGTTATCCCTTTCTATTCATTTTGCTTGGCGGTTATCTTTACATGCCACTGAATCTTTCACGTCTATGATTATTATTCACATTTTAGGTTTATTAAATAGAATCACGTGCTTCACAAGGCCAGTGCGCTCTTTATTCTGCTGGTTTTTGTTTTCTTTTTCCAAAAAAGGCCAAAAAGGTCGGTGACCACATCAGTGAATCGCCTATCATTGCCGAGGAGCATGAAAAGGTACATTTTGATTGGTTGTTATGAGGAGGGGGGGGGGGCATCAAGACAAACACAGGGCTGCAAAATCTGATCTTTTTTAAATAATACATTTTATTTTAGCATCATTTCAGACAGTAGCATATTTCAAGTTTTGTATCAAACACAATTTTTAGATTAGTACAAAAAGCAGTAAGCCTTACCAGCAGGCTAATACCGGTAAGCTACAACATGAAAGGCACATTTTGAGGCCCAACAATTACATTTTAAACATTTGATGATCACAGGGGCAGCTGCCCCCCCCTCCGGGTCAGACTGCCACACTTCCTGTACATCTTTCCTTCATCTGCTTCTGGCTCAAGTTGGCCAAAGAGGACAGGTGGTTAAAGTTTTAAAGAGTTTTAAAGTTGAACAATTTTAACCACCGATGACATTATATATATATATATATATATATATTACACACAAATAATATTAATTTCATCTGTGAGTTAGCTATTCGCCTGGAGTTCAGCTTTAAAAGGGTTTCTGCTAAAATCAAACCTGCTAGAGAGTCTATTCAGTCTGCTTCAGCAATAACAAGCAATATCTTTAAACAATAGACAGACATGGGACTCACAGTTGAAAAAATTCACATTTTGTTCACCCGCGGCATGATGGCTCCATATGTCCGTGCTTTATTGTTTAGGAGCAATTTGTAGTCTTTGGAGTGTGTGTATAGAGGCCCATAAGCACTTCTGGTGGTCAGAGACTCTCCTCAACTTATATGACATCATTTTGGTAACACTGAATCACACCAGTAACATTACATCACGCCAGTGGCATCACACACAGTACATGGCACTGCCCTGGATACATGGCACTGTAAACAAAGAAAATCCAGAGTGTAACACGGTGGGGTATACACTGGGGGGGAATTTATCCGAACTGGAGCAGAAGAATCTGGAGCAAGTGCCCACGGCAACCAATCAGCATCTCCCTTCAGTTTGCTCAGTTGAGATTTGAAAATGAGACAGAGAAGCTGATTGGTTACAGAGCAAATCTGCTCCAGTTTTGATAAATTCCCCTCACTGTGTCTACTGAACAACAAGCAGATCGTCTTCAGATTGTTTGACTGGTACATAAATCTGAAGATGATTTGACCTACCAAAGAACTTGGATTGATCCAGATGATTGCCATGGCAAGGTGACGTTATCTCAAAGCTTTTTGGAATGCGGGAATCAAGCAAAGCGATGTAGTTTGAAGAATCTACATTTCGGAGGTCGGCTAGTCATCCTGCATCCTGGACGTATCAATAAGTCTAGTCTGACGCTTCCTCCATCTGGCCAGCGGCTTACTCCAAGAGAGGAGAATACACATCTCTGCACATAGCTTAGCATCAATTCACAAAAGCGTAACAATCCCATATTTTCAATGTCATATCAAATCTGTTAATTTTAATTATAAAAAAAAATATAGAGCCATTCCTCCAGTAAAACTGCATGTACATTTGTTCTGTATAAATGGAGGAAAAAATGAATGGTATCAGTATCTTTTCTTTCCAGGTTGAATATATTAGGGAAAATGCCCTTTTATGACCACTAGATGGAGCTGAGGAGCATAGGAAACAAGTATTTATTATCCTTGGCTCCACCTAGTGGTGATAATGTGGTATTTTCCTGATTCACTCTAATCTTATGAACTAATTACATTCGACCTGGAAAGAAAATATACACTTGTTTTTGCTCCCATTCGCTCAGAATGAATGTACATCCAGTTTCATAGGGTGAATGGCTCTTCTAATGTTTTATAAATACATTCCTGTGATGGATCTGTTAGATTTATCTCATGGATGTGTTAAATGTTAAGGTGGTGGTTGCAGAAATAATCAAGAGATGAAGTAACACGTGGCAGGTGACTCGCGGCTTTGTGAATTGATATCTGGATCATATGAAGCAGCTCAGTGAGGCCAGACACACTTCCAAGGTTTTGACTCCGGCGGACTCAGACATTTCCCAATCTTCTTACACCCCGGGGGTGACCAATTCTAGAAGACAGACAGATCTACCGTGGTCACTCAGATAGTAGGTACAGCATAAAGAACATAATTACAGACACTGTTGTTGCTGGAGGGAAGACCTCTTGTTATCCCCAGGGTCGTGTTTTAGTTGCCAGTCTCCCCAGGACAGCGTTAGGTCCGGAGTCAATGGGCTTTTGTTTGCTTCAAGAGGGTTTTATAATTCCATACAAGTCTATGAAAATATAAAACCGGCCTAGCAGGTGAAATTCAGGTCAGCTGGGCATACACAGGTGACTTTCACTAGTTCAATCGGGCTATTAAAACTGCCCACCGTTAATTGCTACTGATCACTGCACATATAGTTGCTCTGGTAGGTCATGTGGCCCAGTGCTGTGTTAAGGTCACATGACTTGGAACCAAATTGCTGCAGAAGCTCAGACTGCTTCGCACAGGTAAGTTTATTGGCAATTTAACACACCTCACCTCCCTCCTCCATTATTTACAACAGATCTAACCATCCACATTAGATCCATTTTAAAGTAGAAGCTCAAAAAAAATCAACACAGCATATGTAAAGCAAGTGGCTATTGTTCTAGGGCTGCTTTTTTTTTTGACGCATCATTAAAGGAGAAGTATGGGATGAGTGAAATATACTCATGCCAGTAGTTAGAGCCGGAATGTGACACTGCAGCCGTCACACGTCAGCTCTATTGATGGAGAACGGAGCGATCACAAACTGCTGATCACTCAGTTCATGGTCTTCTCCCTGCAGAGAGTACTGACTGTCAGTCGCCGCTCCCCGCAGTGATTCGCCCTCCTCTCCCACTATTCCTCCAGCACTTATTGGAGGGACAGAGAGGGGAAGGGGCGGGCAAAGCTGACTCTGACTCTAGAGAGGTTGGGATCCTTCCCAGCTGCAGCGTGGCTCTGCGCTGTCAGCATATAGCAGGCAATGCTAAGTTTTCAGTCACTGGAGGCCATTAGTAATTGTCCTCCTGTGACCCTAAAGAGAACTATGGAAAAAAAGGTTTGGTCACAGTTCTCTTTTAAAAATCACATTCTATAAAGTTTTGGACCCATAGAAAGAAATGAAGGGTGTCTGCAACATAGCACTGTTCATATTTGGCCATGTCCCGTACTAGCCATTTCCCACATTGCAGCTTGACTCACCAGTGACCCCCCTCCTCAGGTCTCGGGTCTGACGATGGATGCAGCTCATAATCATAAAGCAAATTCCAAGTGAACAAAACCTCATTTGTTGGCTTACTAGTGATTTTTAACCTGATTTCTTCATTTATATTGTCATGGTAAAACCGAGTTCCAGATCTATGAACAACAATGCAGTGCAATGGCCTACCTGATTGAATACAATATGACTAGACCGTTTTGGTAGATTGGGCAGCACAATAGTGGCATATTGGTTAGTGCTTCTGCCCTGCAGGTCCCGGGTTCGAATCCCGGCCAGATCTCTATCTGCAAGGGGTTTGCATGATCTCCTCTCACGCTTCAAAGACATGCTGGGAGGTTAATTGGCTCCTGTCTAAATTGGCCCTGTATGTATGCGTGTGAGATAGGGACCTTAAATTGTAAGCTCTTTGGGGGCAGGGACTGAAGTGACTGTACAGTATGTAAAGCGCTGCATGAATCTAACTTTATTGTAATGTTAGATCATAATGAGTTTGGTGAGTTATAGTCTTCAGCTCCGTTACACCAATAGACTTACATAAAATCCCATTACGTGTACTGTTTCCAAATGTGAGCTTCAGTACAGCCTAAGGTCCACTTCCTAACAAGCCTCAAGAGAAGAGGATGGTTAGGAGAGGAGGGGGTGTCCCGAGGCCGGGTGTCACCCGGAGCGGAGACCGGGTGACACCCCGCCGTGCCATCATCGCGCATGACGTCACCTCGTGCGTGCGCGATGACGTCTTTGCGCATGCGCTGTCATCTAATTGACGCCTGTCGGCAGAGAGAGGAGGGGGCGTTCACCCGGCGGCATGAGGTATGCCGCCGGGTCCCCTCCTCGCTCCTGACACTGTCGGGCTCTCTGTCTATAACAGAGTGCCCAACGTTTTAGAGGGGGTGACACCATAATGACTGTCAGTCATTGTCGTGTCACCCCTCCAATGGTAGAAGCAGAGACACCGGCACTCCAGATTTGCAAAATACGTCTATTTATATTAACCCCTCCAATGGTGTCACCCGGGTGCGGGCCTCAACCCCCGGACCCTCCTTGTAACACCACTGGGGAGAGGCCCCTATCAGACCAAATGGCTTTATGTGTCATGGCTAGTTGATGCTTGGAGCCAACAGAAGCAAATCAGTCGAGTCTCCTTTTCTTCTACTGGTCCAGCAGCATTATTTTTCATCTCTGTTGATGATGGTGCAATCAAACATAAAAAGGAGAGATCTTTGTATGTTTTTTTTTACATAATTATTAGTGAATATGGGAACAAAAAGAGAAAACGACTTATTGACACAGTAAACTGGATCATGATTACTGAACTGTGTTTTTCCAGCAGTTCATTAGTTCTGAACAGTTAGGTTTTCACACACCAGATGACGCTATTGCCGCATTCAGACTTGATGGAGAGACAATCGGGTCAACAGACGACTTTGAAGTGAAAAGCATCTGAGTGTTATTTATTATAGGTATTATAGAGCGCCGACAATTTGCACAGCATTTTATATACTGTACATTCACATCAGTCCCTGCCCTCAAGGAGCTTACAATCTAAGGTCCCCATCTCACACGCACAATTTAGACAGGAGCTAATTAACCTTCCAGCATGTCTTTGGAGTGTGGGAGGAAACCGGAGTACCCGGAGGAACACACAAGCACAGGGAGAACATGCAAACTTCTTGCAGATAGAGACCTAACCGGGATTCAAACTGGGGGGACCCCCCCAGTGCTGCAAGCCACTATAATCTGTAGCCTTCCTATGAGAGACTGACGTCACCTGACTTACCATGACAGCTAGGTCACACACATTGAGCTGAGGCTCCCCGGGGATCATGGATTCCTTGTGCTGGCCAACGACATTGGAGATCCTTGGCATTACTTGCTGGTATTCGTTGCTTAATACACTGCAACAGGATGTAAAGGAAACATTACAAGAGAGCATTAGCCAGTCATATTACTGTTAGAGTATATGTCAGGGCAAAATAAATCCAAAAACATGCGGTACATCTCTGTAACACATGCACGTTTTATCATGTTTTATCCATTTAAAGACCCCAGAAGAAGAGAAGAATACCTGCTGATGTGCCAGAGATGCACTCAGCGCCTGAATCCTTTAAATGACAACACAGCATTTCTGTTGACAGAGTGGTGTCAGCCCTGCCCAGTTTTCTTTTGCTAAACTACCCAAACCCTCCCACGCTCTTAAACTTTACAACAGGGGTAGGCAAACTTTGGCCCTCTGGCTGTTGTGACACTACACTACAAATCCTATTATGCCTCTGCCCCTGGAGGTCATGTATGTGGCCGTCAGAGTTTTGCAATGCCTTATGCGACTTGTAGTTCCACAACAGTTGGAGGGCCAAAGTTTGGCTAACCCTGCTCTACAACGCCGGCACTATTTATTCTGAAGACCGAGATAAGAACTAGGGGGGCTAATTAGACTCCTTGAAATAACACAGGAGATATGGACAGGGATGGCTCTGAATTTCTGGCTGGATCGGCAGGTATATTTTTGCACTTTTCAAACACACATAACAAAAAACTTTCAATGGAATATTTAACAGAGCAAGAGCTAGAAAAAAGTGAAGTTCATTCTTGGGGTTCGCATACACTTACTGGGCACGATATGTATCTTAGTGGTCACATAACAAGTTAAGTGGCTGGCATTCCTGCCTTGCAGCGCCAGGTTCAGTTTCCACCAGGGACACTATTTGTGTGGAATTGATCTTTGCCTGTTTACCCGCCTCTGGTTTCTTTTTGCCATCCAAAAATATTTCTCGAAGATTAGGCATGCCCAGATACCACTTTTTTAAGACCAAGTACAAGTACAGTCCCTCATGTACTTGCCGATACCAATTACCAATACTTTTTCCTAAAGGGGCATGTGACTTTTTTTCTAAAACAACACAGACTGATGATTTTAGGGCAGTTTCTCCCCAGGGCTAAATACGCATGTCCCCAAAGCAGAACACATGTCCCTAAGGCAGAATAGTATTCTGCTTTGGGGACAAGTATTCGCCTTTGGGAACATGTGTTCTGCGAATACATGTCCCCAAAACAGAATTCCTCTCGCCCGGGCGACGTGGACATCTGCAGTGGCTCTGCGGGCACTCCACCTCACCGGCGATGCTGGGACCCGGCCTTCTCCACGTCCAGACCGGCCATGCTAGGCCTTGGCCTCCTCCACGTTCAGTTCGGCCGACTATCTCCGCTGCTGGGCCCCCCGACTTTCATCCATGTCCCGGCCCAGTCCTCCCCGTCAGTGTGGGGGAGGACTGGGCCCCAGACGGGAACCCCCAGCTTCTAGCCCTGGCGCGGTGGTTCCGCCCCCGGGGCTGTCCATGGCTGTGCCGGGAAGGAGATAAAAGAACCGGGCAGGCACAGCCATGGACAGCAATCTGCAGGTCCCCAGCAGGCTGCCAAGGTCCACACAAGCATGGCAACTCGGACAGCCGCTGCTGTCTAAAAATCTAAAGGGCCGGTATCGGCCTTCAGAATCGGGGCATTTTCACAAGTACAAGTTCTCGTGAAAATGCCTGGTATCAGCCCCTATACCGATACTAGACATCCCTATGAAAGATTAACCAGCTCCCATCCAAAAACAGCCCTGTGTATGTGCATGCCTATGATGCTATAAATCCCTCTCTTGTAGTATGTCTCCAGTCTCTGACCATGTCTTGCAGTATGCCTGCAGTCTTTGAGCATCCCTTGTAGTATGTCTTTAGTCTCGGACCATCTCTGGTAGCATGTCTGCAGTCTCTGACCATGTCTTGTAGCATGTCGGCAGTCTCTGACCATCTCCTGTAGTATGTCTTTAGTCTCTGACCATGTCTTGTAACATGTCGGCAGTCTCTGACCTTCTCTTGTGTGACTTTAGTCTCCTACCATCTCCTGCACCACACCTGCAGTCTCTGACAGCTTTCTTTAGCATTGCATTCACTGAATATTGCCAAGGGCCACACTTGAGGCCGTCTATATCAAGTAAGTTGACCACCACGACTGTAGATTGTAAGTTCCTTCAGGACTGATGTGGATGGTTCTATGAACAGCGTGGGGCTCTATCTGCCAGAACCTATGAGCACCTATAGTATAGGCAAATATATTTTTGAGGGGTTTGGACAGTGCACTGATTGGTCCATACTCTTCTTCTTTTTGCCTTTTGTGTCATGTTGGGGAGATTTCCCTTCAGTATCCGGAGACACAAGAAGGGAGTGAGAGGAAACCAAATACCCTCAGACCGTTGTCACTGGATCCGGTGTCCCCATCTGCTGATTAGTCGCAGTAAATCACAATACTTTTCCCTGTCACTCTTTGCTTTGTCATCACCTCCTATGAATTATAGACAGAGATCTCTTCCTAGCCGTAGGGCAGACCTAGTTTTCCTTGTGCTGCCGGATGGTCTGGAGCAGGTGTAGGGATTAACCCTTTCACTGCCACGCAGAGCCCTGAGACGTTCTAATGACAGCGGGGAGGGTGAAGGAGCAATGTACTGGAAATAGTCTAATGCTCAAAGGAGGTATTTAGGCTGCTCTGGAAACCTTTCACTGACTGATGCTCCCTCTGCTCTCCCAGACCTGCCTGTAAGGCCCCCAGGGGCCCGGTGCACAGGTGTGCAGTGCACTTTCTACATTTACTCTAATTTCCCCTTTGGTATTGTGTTGGAGCATCCGTTGTGAGGAGCAGCTGTGTGGCAAGACACCAAGGTCACGTTCATGATGCTGCCAAGACCCGCGGGACCACCATTGCAAAGGTCCCCGTCACCACTGGTCGTACCTGCCTCAAAAGTGCTGAATTGGGAACAGGTTGACATATGTGTATCCATTACCAAAGGCGAGATGACCAGAGGACTTTGCTGTAGTTTACAGTTGTGCTGCACACAGTCACTGACTAGATACCAATTAAGAGCTGGAAGATAATACTTGAAATCTGTTGGGGGTGGACAACACATTAAACAGAATTTCTGCCTTTTCTTCATCAAAAAAAAAAAGTGAATTTATTACTCATTAAAACATTGCAACCGCGATCAGTAGATGGTCGCGGTTGCAAGGGGGGGGGGGGGGCGCGGCCCCCCCCCCCCCCCCTCCCCACTTTTTCCTCACTCCAACAGACTTCCTCCACTTTGTACGATCGGTCACATGAAGCCTCTTCTTTATGGTGCTCCGGACGATACTTACACGCTATCATCATATTCAAGTACAATGGTGGACCAGTACTCCTGCATGTTGCGCTAGTGTCGGAGAGAAGAGGAGAGTGCCGGAGCAAGGAATATAGCCAGCAGCTGGGGTGGACCCCGAAAATAATCTTCAGGATCCTTCCCGGCTGTGGCAGGGCTCTCTGCTGACAGCGGGCATCTGCTGGCTTTGGGTCACAGGAGTACTTTAGTAATTGTACTCCTGTGACCCAAAAGAGAAGCAAAAAACAAAACAAAAAAGAAGAAGGTTTGGCTTTACCTCTCTCTTAAGTTTGGCTTGGGTGCAGGGCCACTAGTCAAACTAGGCAGCCGCCTACCGCGGCTATTTCAAATTGCAAAAGCCAATAGCAGGTTGGCCATTGCACCCGCCCACTGAGCAGAGGAGTGAAACTGAGAGACAACTTACTCTCTCAGGTCCGCTCTTCTGCTCAGCGGTCCTCAGCTGCAAATTCCAGAGCGGCATGAAGGCAGTTGCCTCCTTGGGCACCTTGTCAGTCCTCCCCAGCAACCAGTTCTTAATAACCTTTAAAGAAACTGCCCAGGGTCCGCAGTGACGTTGCAGCTCCCAATGAACTGAAAGTGTAAATGTTAATACAGATGTCAAAATTCAAATGCTCCTTGGGTTTGGTGTGTAAATGTAGCTCTTCAAGTAGTTTTCCAGATATAGTCCTCGATCACTGATCTTTTATTTGTAGCATGATGACTTCTGACTACAGACTGGCCCCTCAAAATGGCCCTTATAACAGTCAGCGCAAGAAATGTGATTTCTCCACACTTGTAACTTTACAGAAAACATAATCCTGTTGTGTGACTTCCTTACCTTATGGGGTATTTCTCTCCAGGGTCCCTTCCCAAGTGGAACAACAGCGGATTGAGGTCATGCTCGACTTGGTCATGTGTTGTAATTCCAGTTATATTCTGTCCCGGACAGAAATTAATCCCCTGCATCCAAATACACACAGTAAGCCATTAATACAATTCTGTAATCAATTGTAATTTTAAACACCTAATAACCTAAGTCTCTTAAATGATCAACAAGTCCCAGACACATCCTGAGTTTATAGGTTGGAATTTGTAGTTCTACAACGTACCTGAGCCACCTCTTCCCACGAGTTAGTCCAGGTCCAGTAATGAGCCTTGTATAGCCCCAGTCGGACCGCCATCATCTCATCGCCACGATAAAAGAATATTGGCCTGACAGAGGAAGAACAACAGATGACTAAGATAATGGCATGAGAGGAAAGGAACATTCACCGTCCATGGTATAGTTTTTAGACTAAAAGGAGTACTATGGTTTGGATATTTGGTTTTTCAGATGCTCTACAGGAAAAGCTGTATTAAAGCACACAAGTACTAAATGCAAATCACCACCACCACCTATACTCATGACCAGGGACATTTAGACCAGTGGTTCTCAGCTTGTATAACCTCAGGACCCACATTTGTCCTTGGCCACCCAAGTCGCATAGCATTACGGTACTGCATCTTCTGGTGCAAGCTATATAACTGTGGGCGGGAGGTGTGTTTTGGGGTGCTATTCAAACGAATGGCAGCGAAACGCACCTCCCACACCAGAACGAACAGTAGGTGCAATTGCGTGGTACATTGCGATTAAAACACTGACAGACACACATAACTATAGACACAATCTCACACACACTCCAAAAAATGTTTAGGGGTCCAGTGTGGGCTGCTCTGCTGTGATGGAGCTCCATCCATATGTGCATTGCTTGTACAGCTCCCTTGCACTCCCTGTAGAGGTGCCGCAAGCCCGAATGTGAGGTCACTCTGGTCACGCGAGGGAGCTGTAAGCAATGCACGTATGGATTGAGCTCCCTTACGGCCATACCCCCAGCCCACCCCAAGCTGACACTGGCCACCAGGCAGCATATTTTGAACGACTGCCCGGCATGAGAACTGACAGTGCTGCGCTATGGGGGAGGCTGAGGAGCCTCTCACCTAGTGCAGTGGAAAGAATGCAGCGACCCACTGAACATGGGGTCACGACCCACCAGTTGAGAACCAAGGATTTAGACCAGTGATGGCGAACCTTGGCACTCCAGCTGTTTTGGAACTACAAGTCCCATGAGCCATTGCAAGGCTCTGACAGCCACAGACATAACTCCCAGAGGCAGATGCATCTTGGGATTTGTAGTTTTGGCACAGCTGGAGTGCCAAGGTCCGCCACCACTGATTTAGACTATAGCCAAGGAAAACACCCAGGCAGGTCTAGACCATCAATTCTTGTCATCTAAGTTCCACGAAAACTTGGGCAAGACTTTCCTTCCCTGGCAGTAAGCCCCATCTCTTGAAACACTGACATTTTCCTTTCCAGTAGCAACAATCCATTCACGGTTTGTCAAAAAGGTGGTGCAGTGCCTTCAATAATAAAGCTACCCCTTCCTGTTGTTGCTAATCATATAATTTATTTTATTAGAGTGAACCTTTAAGGAAAGCTTTCATTTTATTTTTATTTGCACTCAGAGAACTCTAATGAGGGGACCATCCAAATCTTACCTAGGCTGTGCTATAATGGCCCATGCATTCAGATCACATGACACAGCACTGGAAGATAGAGAGGCTGACTGGACTGACCGACTGTATCTAGCCCCAGATCTGATACTTAGGTGAAGCTCAAGTATTGCATGCCTACAACATGTGTACACTTGTTGGAAAATGTCTGGGCAACCAGGCCAATTCTTTCCTCGTATCAGGAGGCAGTGGACCTCGCATGTACTACTTCAGTTTCTCAGGCAGTCGGTTCTAATCCATCTCAGACTATGGCCAATGAAGAACCTGGAAATATCTCTGGAACACCTCACCTGTCAATCACTTTGCTCTCCAGCATGATGGGCGATAGGTCAATGCCATCTATGAGCCTGTCCCCAGGAGGATCTAGTCCTGCCAGTGCCAGGCTGGTGGTGAAGAGGTCCATGATGTTGCTTAGCTGGTAGCTCACCTGTGAGACAAATACTAATGAGCTTCTTCAGCAGTGTAATGAAGAATGTCCAATGTACCTTTAACCCTCTCAGCAACCAACCAGGAATACTCTTTCACAGACCAGAATATGGTAAACTTTGCCCTTTGGACTGCTTCACTGAATAAGCCCATTATGTTATTTGGTGCCATTGTGTGCATGGTTGGGAGCCTGGCCACTGCCATACCAAGGGGGGCAGGTGTCTGCTTCCGGAGATAGAGTGGTGTTTGGAGAAGGACCGGAAAGACATTTTAAACAAATACAAGGAACCTCCAATTGCACATGCAACCTGATTTTTTACAGCGGTTTGGTGTAAATTGCAAATGGAAATGAGGCTTCCCGTCAGGAAGATCTTGCTAATGGGGTCCTATTCCAATTTAATTTTCAATTTAAATAAGTTAAATACATTTCAGGTCTATCAAAGCAAAAAGTGTGCAAAGCCTTACAGTTTTCTTTATAAAGCAGCCACAGCCTGAGTAGAGAAGCCTGTCCCCTACCAGCATTCTGTACAGGAGACCCTTGATCGCTGTGTGGAAGCAGTGGTCTCTTTGCCGAGGTGAACCCAGTACTTTCCAATCATTAGGAAGCATGAGCTTTACTGATTGCAGACCTTTAAGGTGGCCATACACCTCACGATTATCGGACAACACTTTTCGTCCGATGATCGAACCGTCGTACGGCGGCCCCATTATGCCCCGATTTAATTAGCCGTAAATTAAAGAAAAGCACCTGGGCGAATTGCGGTAATTGACCGCACACATTTTCGTTTGCGCATGAGCAGTGTAGATCGTACGATTTTTGATGTACGGAAACGCCACCAACCTTGCAATAATCGTACGATCGACCATTGTTTTCAAACATGCTTGAAAGTCAAAAGTCGTATGATTGTACAGTATTTGCGGGTGTACACTGCCCATACACCTTGTGATTATCGGACGAAAACGCGATTGCATACTATTATCGTACGATAATCGTAAGGTGTATGGGCACCTTTAAGTGTAATTCAGTATGGGACACGTCAGACCTTAGCTCTGCTTCCCCGCAGGTCCCATTCTGCAGCACACTGGCTATTCTCAGGATGTGTGCTGCTTTAGAAAACAAACAGTGGGACTTTGCACACCTTTAGTTTTGATCAGAAATAATGTTTTTGACCTTTTTGTTTCGATGCACCTGGAATGCATTTAGCTGATTCAAACTGGATGTTTAATTGAGCCTTAATTTAATCTAAAAGGCGTTTGGCTGGCGCAGCACATGAGTGCCTACCCACCTAAAATATGACTTCAATAACCTTTAGTTTAGCAGAACTCCAGGATTTGTTTTTTTAAATCTGCGGTGCAAAAACAGGCTATGTGTCTGGAGATGTATGTTGTATTGCTGTATTTATTTTATTATTTATGCATCCATTCATGCTGGGAAGTATTAGGCCTCATTCACACGAGAAAAAGCCGGCACATACAGCTCCGTGCTGTGTGCACAGCCGTATCGCTCCGCTCTTGGGAAGGAAAGGTGCTGTGTGTGATTAGTACACATCCCCTGTCCTTCTCTATGGGAGTACGCGGTCATACACCACCCTATGCTCACCCGCCCTGCACGTCTGTGCGTGTGTCCATACTCGTACGCTGACAGGATGGATCCTGTGTGCGTCCGAGCCGGGACACCCGCACGGACCTGCGCTTGGGGTGAGCGTAGGGCGGGGTATGGCCGCGTACTCCCATAGAGAAGGACAGGGGATGTGTACTAATCACACGCAGCACCTTTCCTTCCCGGGAGCTGCCCGATACAGCCGTGCACGCAGCATGGAGCTGTACATGCCAGCCTTTTCTAGTGTGAATGAGGCCTTACTCTTGCTATACCTCCATTGCTGCAAGACGAGAGCTGCGGCTCTCATACACAGAGGCAGTACTGTCCTTTGGCCGCTCCTCCTCTAGCTTTGACAATTCACAAATTACATTGTATTGTGTGACCCCATTTACAGAATACAAAGGGTTAATATATGAATAAATCTCCCACCGGTTGTTTGCAGGTTGTTGAGGACAGAATACAAATATTGAGGGCAATGACCACATTAAAGCAGTACTCCAGGAATTATTGTATTTTAAATCTGCAGTCTTACTTCTGGCCCACTGTGTCTCTTATATGTGGAAGCCGCAGTATTGTTTGTCTACCCTCCTCTCTCCCTGCCCATTCACACAACACTTCAGGGCTGATTTATAAATCTTCCACCCAGCTGGACAAATAGCATTCGTATGGCACTACCAACACTATTTGGAATTTCCTATGCTCCTCAGCGCCACCTAGAGGCGGGAGTGCCATGTGAACTGCATTCACCCAGCGAAATTCTTGGTGGAAGATTTATAAATCAGCCCTAAAGTGTTGTGTGAATGGGCAGGGAGACAGGTGGGTGGATAAACAACACTGCGGCTTCCATGTATGAGAGCCACAGTGGGCCAGAAATAAGACTGCAGATTTCAAATTGAATGATTCCTGGAGTTCTGCGTTAAGGCGGACATTTTTAATCCGGCCTCAGGAACCTGCAAACAACCAACCTTTGAAAACCTACAATTAATCCTGGTGCTTGTAGTCCCCATGGGGTGCTGCAGATAGCTGACCCACCACAGTGGTGCACTGACTCCTGAAGAATGTACACACATTGTGATGTACGTGACCTGATGAATTTCTCAGAAGTAACATCTCCTTTCATGCTACAGAGACAAAAAAGCATTTGTAAGAAGCTGCCAGTCTGTACGTCTAGGAAAGAATAAATTACTCCAGACGATCAGATAGGCCTCGTATCAGCGTCGCACAGGCACACACATAGATTTGCTTCTGCTTTTCGCTTCCTTCCAGTCAGAAGGGCAAGCGGAAAGCTTGAGTGTAAATCCCCTTCCTCTGGCAAACCACAGTGCGACCCGCTGAAGATTACCAATGATGGCAGCAAAAGGGCAAAGCTTTCTTCAGAAGCTCCTCAGTCAATATCAATACAATTTACTGTGAAGGTAGAAAATGCATCAGCATTGTAAGCTATAAACATCAAACCCATTCAGAGTAAGCCATGCAATGTCCTTTCCTGATAACAAAAAGTGTTGTTTTCTATTGAGTGAATGAAGCCATGGGGGGGAGAGGGGGGGACAGTTTTCTCTGTAGAGGTGTCCTTTAAAGCACAATTGAAGCCCGCTTTTTTTTTTTTATTTGTTATGCAGTCAGGCTGCATAACAAATAAAGAATATGACATTTTATTTTACTATGGTGTAGATTTATAAAGCAGTGAATGTGACTTTACCAGACTTTCATTGCAGGTGAATCTTAACGTGCGATGGTTATAAAGTGTACGGCCAGCTTTAGAGACTTGGACTGCTTTGCTCTGTGTGAGAGCAATGGTCCGGCTCTCCTGCGTGCTGCTGAGACAGGGCAGCTTTTACAGAACACACGTTATTGAAGAAAATAAAGAATGTTATGGAGCCTGACTGCTATACCAGAAAAAAAAATGAGAGGCTTTAATTATGCTTTAAAATAAACCGATTGGAAATAAATGGGGGCAGCCATTGCTGGTCTTTTTCTTAAAATATTACTTTGTTGGTGGTTATGCTGAACTACCGACTTCAGTACCTTGAGTCACTGACTCAGAACAAGCATGCTGATCAGAAAGGTCAAAGAAAAGTCCTATGCTTAGATCCCCATACGTGTTCCAGCATTGAAGTCAGAGAGTGAGCACAACAATGTTTTCCAAAAGACAGTTCAGCAGTGGCTGTCTCCGTCATCCTCTTGTTAAAAGTTTCCTTTAGGGCAGGTTCACACCACAATCTCCGCGTTCCAGTGCGTTCGGCCTCTGGAACACAAGCCAGCGTTTAGTGGCGGGAGGGGGCGTGGCGGTGAATTGAAGTCAATGGCACCGCAGCCACTCCCCCCGCACGCAGTGCGATCGCCTGCACATTAGTGCCTGCGTTCCGGGTGTGGGTGATCGCACTGCGGGCGGGGGGCGTGGCTGTGGTGACATTGACTTCAATGCACCACCCAAGCCCCCCTCCCGCCTCTGAATGCATGGAGCCGGCCGGCCAGCGTTCCAGAGGCCGAACACCCTGGAACGCGGACTTTGTGGTGTGAACCGGCCCTTAGGAAGATTCTAATCCCATACTGTTATACAAAACATGGCCTCTAGAGGGAGCATTTAGACGTTTGTATAATATAATAATCAACATATGGAAGAGTAAGCAAAAATGTGAACATCGGGAAAAAAAAAAAAAAAAACTTTCCACCACTCAATAACCAAACCTTAAAAAAACGATTTGGTTGGTGGGATGCTTAAAATTGTCCCTACAAATACAGTTAAGCAATGTGCATAGATTTCATGCATATAATGCGTCTTTAGGTATGTGAAATGTGAACTATGCCTATGTCATGTTATTTCTGTGTCTACTTATACAACAAAAATGCCATTTGGGAAAAATAATAGTTTCAGTCTCACCTGCCCAGGAGGTAAATGTCCAGGCCACCAAGCAATCCCTGGCACCCTCATACCACCCTCAAAGGTTGTTTGCTTCCCGCACAGGAATGGAGAGTTGCTGCCTCCTAGAAGATTGTTGGGAGGTATAAATGAAACCTGAACATGAATAAAATAAGTTCATCACTTTATAACCAAAGACCTCCCGCAGACGGCACTTGGTTTGGTCTTGCACTGGATCTAGTTTATTAATAGAAATACTGTAAGAAGCAGATGCTGTACTTACAATACTTTGTATTTGTGTATTGGTGGATGAGTAGCACCATAAATAAATGATCTTAGACTTTGCATTAGAAAATTGATTTTATTGGTAATTTTGAAACAGTCAACACGTTTCAGGGTGCTCCCCCTGCTTCAGCAAACAATTAACATGAGGAAGACCTAAGGCATTTCTAGGAAGGAATTATGGGCTAAAAATCACAAATTGTATCTATGAATTAAGAGTTAAGAGCTTGTCTAAAGGGAAAAGACTGGAAGGGGGTGTTAAATATAAAATAATTAGTAAAATGGTTGACCATGACTATAAACATTGAACCTATTCAAAGTAATGGGTAAATTGGTACATAGATGATAATAATAATAATATTATTTTTAAACATGTTGGTTCATTTTCTTTTACCTTTTATATATAGTTGTATCCATATCTATTAGTCGTAGGATTTTATTATTAATTTGAACATTATGATTTTAATCTTTGTCAACAAACCTCTAAAGCCTATGTACTATGATCATGACAATCAGCAGATACTTTCTGGAGTCCTCCAGTACACAAATATCACCCAGAATTTCACTTTTAATCAACCTGAATTCTTTTTTTTTTATTCTATATTCCCTGAGATTATACACAGATTCGAGTTTAGTGTTTCCTTTATAAGTGATAGCTCTCATCAGGTATTTTCTGATAGACTCTTAACTTGCAATACTTTTATACAGTTTATGATTTTTAATTTGTCTTTCTTAATTCAAGATACATTTGTCTTATGTCTTCCAGATATTGTTTTTAGCCCTGAAAATGGAGAAGCACCCCAAAATGCGTTAGAATGTTTTATGTACCGTAGAACAGTGAAATGCACGCAAGAGCATTCCTACCCCGGCACTCCCAGCCAAAGATGCTGAAAGAACCCATGAAGCATTAATCTGTCTTACAGGAAAAGGTGCTCCATGGCCATAGTCATGTGACCAAATGACTAGACCGGTATCTCTTTCAGGGTTCTTTTAGTACTGAAGGTAGCCCAGCTGTTGTAAAAAAGCAGCTCGAGTGAACTTTGGAGCTAGCAGGAGGACAAGTAGAGTTTTTTCGATTTGGGTCAAGAGTTTTGAATAGTCAGCGGCATCGGCAATATTTACTTACATGTATTAGCACTTCATAGATTGAGCGCACATATGGTCTGGAGCAACTGAACCTATCTCTTTAAAAGAAATGTGAACTTGTTCATGACCTGCTATAAGCATATACTTGATCTGCAGGGCATTCTCTGGACACAGACTGATAATTTCCCGACACTTTGGAGTTAATGAAAGGAAATAAGCAGGTAAAAGAGAAGAGGAGGGGGCTGATATTTCTTACCTTGGGTGGGTGCAGAGATGAGGGCCGCCCCGTTGTCAGATGCGAAGAAGACAAAAGTGTCCTTAGCTATTCCCATGTTCTTTATCGATTCCAGGATCTTCCCAATGCTGGAATCAATTTCACGGACAGCATCGCCATACCTGGGGAAAGAACCCAAAGAAAACATACTCATATACCAATTTAATGCAGTACCCGGGTCTAATAAAAAAGCTAGGCAATGTTTAAGTGCAAACCCCACAGTTGGTCCCACCCAGAACCTGCCTCTATTTATGCAAGGGCCACCCCACTCATTGGGTGGGTGTACTCAAATCAGACCCACTTTACAGGTTAGTCCCACCCAAAACCCTGTCTTAAAATATGCAAGGAACGCCCATCACATCCACTTTATGGGCTGCTCCTCCCTAGACCCTGCCTCTAAATATGCAAGGGCCACCATTCTTTGAGTTGGCGTGCTCAAATCACACCCACTTTAGAGGTTAGTCTCACCCAAACCCTAACTCAAAATATGCAAAGAATGCCCATCATGTCCACTTTGTGGGTTGGTCCCACCCAGACCCTGCCTCTGAAAATGCATGGACTGCTCACTTGTAGCCCCGGGCCCTGTAATAAATGCCTTTTTGAGTTACTACGCATGTGTAGTACAAACTTTTGGCCATATAGTATATCAGAAATAACCAGATCAGATACAAAACACACACTAGACATAACATCTCAGCAATAGAAATTTGACTGAAGTCGGTTGCTGTGGGGAAACACAAAATTATTTTTGGGGAAAGCTTTGACACATGCAGGTCAGTATTATATTGAGGTTACTGCTGTGAAATATGTCTTACAGTCCTCTGCGGCTACTTCCCAGGAAGGGTTCGGAGGCGTAGATGGGAGCATGAGTGGCATCAATCGCCCAGTACAAGAAGAATGGCTGCTTTGTTGATGCATATTTACTGATAAAGTTTAAAGCTTCCTGTTAATAAAACACACACAAGAGAATGAGAAATATATCCAAGTCATAGAATGAAAGACTAACCCTGGGAATTAATATAAATATATCCTTGCAGTGGCTGCAAGAGCTAAATGCTCACCATACTTACCATTTTCCTTACTCTGGCAGGCTTCCTCCATCTGTGTCATCGGCCCCCCAGAGCCTCTTCTATGAGATGCTCCAGTAGGCAGCCACATGCTGACATCATCTAGTACAATGCAGGACCAAAAACCTTGCATTGTATGTGAGGGCGACAAGGGACCACCCACAAGCCAGAGCCTGCCAGAGCGAGGAGTAAGGTAAGTATTACATCTTATTCCTCATCCCTACAGTTAAAGAATTCACCAGCCCCACAGCAATGGTAGTTTTTTGCAATTCCCGGAGTAGGGCACTAAAAATAAAAAAACAAGTTTTTTCCATTTGAATTTAAAGTAGATGTAACCCCTAACTGAATGGCAGTTTGCTAAACCACTGTGTACCATAAACAATTTCTTTAATTGATACCCAATTATTTAAATACAATTCTTGTTTTCAGCCTTTTTACATCCTGCATCTCAGTGCTGCCGATCTCCTGCAGCCACATCTTGCCTACATGCACTACAGTGATGGCTGCATGGCATTTCTCAGGGTGGGTTTTCTGATGGTGACAACAGTGGACCATGCCGGCACAATGTGGGTTGAAACGGCCACTTGTAGTCTGCATTAGAAACCTGTGTGACAGGGTAACAACGCAGGAGAATAGTTGGGAGACTGGGACCACTCATAGACAAAGTGCACTTATTCCTTTTCCCTCTCCTCTAACCTAAATTACCCCACTATTGTCCTCCGCAGAG